CTGAAGGGACCAGGTGCTGGAGGTTTTAGAGGACCTGAAGGGACCAGTTGTTGGAAGTTTTGGAGGGAAAATTGTCTCTTACTGGTGTGACAGGATTTTTGTTCAACGGTTCTGAGTCATGTTTCTGGATTTTATTTGATGCATCAGGTACTTACAGTTTGTTCTTCATCATTGTCCTGCAGAAATCTGCAGCAACAACTGTATTGATGCAGTCTTTCCAGATGTGTAAGCTCTCCATTCCACCGTTATTAATGCACCTCCATACCATCAGAGAAGCAGACTTTTGAACAGTGTACTGCTCAACTTCAACAGTGGACGTGCTTCCTGTGATCCTCTAAATAAATTATGGGTTTATAACATTTGTAAATCTTTGCATTCTGTTTAAATTTACATTTTACACCATGTCCCAAGTTTTAAAGCAAATATTTCGACACCTGGACTAAACGATGTTTATATTATTTTTGAGCTTAAACTAGTTTGAACTCTTGTTCAGAAAAGCAAAATGTGTGGATCCAGTTGGTCTTGTTTTTAATAAAGATACTTGGAATGAAGCGCTCCTGCATTCTGACGAACACTTTCTCATTGTTTTGGTTTCTGACGGGATCTGGGTCACGCTGGTCCATCCTTAAGGATAAATGTGTGTGTGTGTTGCAACAATGACCTCGTGTGTGTGAGAAGGCCTGCAGGGAAGAGCAGCTCAGAAAGCCAAACGGTCACTTCCTGTGAGGCCTCTGTTCTTCTTCTCTGCTCAGTTTCTTCCACTGAGCTCTTGTTGTCGCCCGACGCTGAAGGCAGAGCGATAGTGTCTTTGCATGTGTCTTCGTGTGTGTGTGTGTGTTCGTTTCGGTGCACTAACAGTAAAATATGTCTTGAACCAGTGAACAGATGTTAATGAGGTCTTCAGGAAGTTATCTTCTGCTGCACGTCTACAACTCCTTGACTTTTGGAGTCGGTCCTGTTCTAGAAGGCCGGCACAGCCGATCGACTTAGCCTGAACAAAAGCAGCTACGCCTCGGGGAGTTTTTACGCGTACTAGCTGAAATGTGGTGTGGTAGTAGCCGAGAGTCTTTTACAACACGTCGCCCAAGCACAAACAGCTCATGTAAGAGATCGTATGAGATGAAGCTCGTTGTAGTTTCCAAGGTCGAACAAAAATGTCTGTCTTCATAAATATACACAGTGAAAGGCATAACTTCTGATCCGCTCAAGATAATTTAACAAAACGTTTGTGACCACCGCGTCTCGTAGTCTTCGTCACACCAGCTCTAACGTCAAGGTCACAAATCAAGGTCAAAGTTTCAACAAGGTCTTGACTTGTCTGGGCCATTGATAAAGATTCTGTATAATAGTTTGATGGTCGTATGATGTGGTACTCCTGTTTCTCCCCATCCATCCGTACATCCATCCATCCATCCATACATACATACATACATACATACATACATACATACATACATACATACATACATACATACATTATCTTGACCCGCTTCTTCCTTTTTGGGTTGTGGCGGTCGCTGGTGCCCATGTCCAGCTATCACTGTGCGAGAGGCGGGGGACACCTGGACAGGTCTCCAGTCCATCACAGGGACACTTGGAGACAAACGAGACAAACCATTCTCTCTCTCTCTCACCCAGAGATGATTCAGAGTTACCATCAGTCTAACATGGATGTTTTTGGTCTGTGGGAGGAAACCGGAGTACCCGGAGAAAACCCGTGTAGCACGGAGAGAACATGCAAACTCCACCCAGAATGGTCCCAGACTGGGATTTGAATCGGGGCGACCTGCTCACTGAGAGGCGGCAGCTCTACCAGCTGCACCACCGTGCCGCCCACACAAGACGTATGTCATGAAAGGCAGCAGGATGTGTACAACCCACAAGGAGTGCTAGAACTTTCTTTAGCCTCTGTTTTGAGGTATTGGTGTAGTAGCAGCGGCCGTTTTGCTACAGTACAGCTTCGTACTTCCTGTTTCAGTTGTCTTATTGAACGTTGTGCTGTGGCGACTCCACCCAGACCCTGCCGGGGCCGTCACTGAGAAAACTGAGACGCAGATTGTTGTGTGAATGCACAGAGTGCAGAGGAAGAAAGCTGGACTTGTAGTGCCCGGACGCCGCCGAGTGTTGACTGTTTTACTGTTGCTTGAAGAAAAGTTAGTCGTCAAAACAATATTTATGTTCTCAGCCACATTTCACGGCCGCCATTTTTACTGGTATACATCGAAGGTGAAGGGGCAGTAATGTCTGAGCCTGTGTGCGTTTGGGCGTTTATCCAGTTGTATTCTACAACTGGTTAAACTGTGGAGTCAGACGCCACAGCTAATCAACGTTAGCAACACAAAGCGGCTGTAACTCCGTCAGTTTGACAGATATTGAGCTAACACAAAGGAGCTGAGTCACTCAACAGATGCTCTTTCACTAAAACTCTTCCAGTCAGGATTTAGACGCCTTCTGGCCGCCTTGGTGTGGTTTCTGAATGGACCGAGGAGATGAGGGGCATCGAAGCCAAACCCCCTGATGCACCTCTGTGCCGTGAAGCGAGGTAGTACCAGAGGTAAAACAGCCGACGTGTGAAAGATAAGTCGGCTGTGTGGGTTAGTAACGTGCTGACGTGATGACATCCGGTGTGGGCGACCAGCCCGGCACAGAGCTGAAGAACTTTTAGCCATGTTTGTTGACGTCACCTGTGACTTTGTGTGTTCTCGTTTGTTTCGTCTCTTTTTTTACGTGAAGACAAACGACGTGTTCACGGTCAGGGAAGTGTTCGGCTCGACGGTGCCGTGATCTTAGAGTAAAGTCACATTTGGCGGGACAGAACGGGTCGGATGAGGAAGTACTTGCTTCGTAAAGCAGAAGTGAAACTCTGTGGTTTGTTCCCCTCGTGTTTCTAAGGAGAGACAGCACAACAGGAAGTGAAGCAGGAAGTAGCAGAAACGCTACAGGAAGTGAAGCGAGGCGGACTTTGCACATTCTGATTTATTCTTCAAAACTCCTCCATTTTCTTTTTGTCTTTTTGTTTTTACATTTGAGTTGATGTGGAAGCTCCAGTGTTTCATTTCCTTCATACTTTTGATTTTAGTCTAAAGCAGGAATCTTATCACTATTAAACATGTCTGCTCTGTAATATTTATTTTATATTTTAAATGGGTTAGCATCTGTATAAACACAGTTTCAATCCCATCAAGAAACAAAAATCATCAAAGCACTTAATGTTAAACAGGAGGCGAAGCTGAAACGAGAATAAAAAGTTGAAATGATTAGAAAGAACCACAGAACATGCAGCGAGCGGCACAAACGAGCAGAACAATGTTTTAAACAACATGAAGCGTTTGAAGGAAGTGAAGAGGAAAACATGGCTGAAAAGACTAAATATTTTAAAAAGTACAAATATCACAAATACCAAAAGTCTGAGCAGGAACGTCCTGAATGAGCCGAACGTTTCCAGGTTTGAATTGTTGAAATAAATAAATAAAGTGGAACAAGTTACGTGCTGGAAAACGTCCGAAAGTAAAATAGAGTTATAAACATTCATACAGTGGGAGTGGTGGTGCAGAGGTTAGAGAAGGTGAGCCTGTGATCGGAAGGTCGCCGGTTCAACTCCCCAGGCTGACAACATCAAAATGTGGGTGGGAAACCTGCCTCCACCCTCATTTGCTTCACACTGGACCCTTGAGCAAGGCCCTTAACCCCCCCGGGCACCCTAGATATCAGCTCTCTGCTCCACTCAGTGGTCTGTGGGGTCAGGAAGGTCATCCAGTGTCAAAACAAGCACCAAGTCTTCGTGCGACTAGTCTTCTGTGGCGACCCCCACTCCAGCCTGCATGCTGACTCGTCCTGTGGGGTTCTGCTGGTCTTCAAAGACCGGGCCAGGCTCCTGCAGGCGGCGCCGAGGCCCGTGTTTACGTCAGGTCTGGGATGTTGAACAGAAAAATAGGGGCCTGTAGATGTGACCTCCGCGCTGCGGCGTCTTATTTTGTGATCTGTATCTACCAAGAATGTTTCCACAGTGTTCGTGTGGAGCAGAAGAAGAAAGGTGGTTTTAAATTTTAAAGATTTTATCACGGAACGTGAACGTCGTGGCTTCAAGTTTCGTCATGTCGTGGGAGGAAGGTCAAAGGTCGAGGAGATATTCCCGTGCTCTGTCACCGCGGCGACGAGCTGTTGAACTTTTTTACCTGGATCGTTGAGCATGAACTTTGATGTTTCACTGGCAGCTTTTCTCCTCAGCTCATGTGACCGTTCTGTTCTCCTCCCTGCAGCCTCCTCTGATCCAGGCGATCTTCAGCGGAGACCCTGAGGAGATCCGTATGCTCATCTACAAGTCTGAGGACATCAATGCTCTGGTGAGGAAACGAAAACACGACTGTTTCATCTCGTCTCTGCTGAAAGCTCTGATTAAATCCCCCAGGTTTATTTTGGCGTTCTTGTTCTCATAGTTGCACAAACATTCATCCCTCGTGGTTTTATTTCTCTTTTATTGTCTTTCAACTCTGAATTCAGTTGGATTTTTATTTGATAAAAGCAACAAATCTACAAAATAGTCCTGATTTATGACGAATTAAAGGCTTCGTCATATTAAAGTTTAAAACTTTGAGCACGTCACCTCGTTTGTTTTGAAGATCCTAAATTAAAAACGTGTCAGGTCTTACATGCCTGTTGTAGCGGTCCCAAGAATCAACACCAGTTCAATACCTTCAAGTGGTGCGGGCTACCACCATGCAAGAGACATCATGAAGACCAAGGAACGATCCACACAAGTCATACATAAAGTTGTGGAGAAGTTCAGATCAGATCATCCACCAAAAGTCACGGACCGGGTAAGAAGAACTTTGATGAGAGAAACCTCCAGGAGGACAACGGTAACCCTGATGGAGCTGGAAGCTGGAGGGTCTCCTGCTGCTGTAGTCCATCTGCTTCAAGGTTGGACTCGTCCAGAGATGGTTTCTGCAGACGGTTTGGAACAATCGTTCTCCTCTGACATGAACGAGGCGTTTCCGTCCACACGTGGCGCTCACTCACTTCTTTTGACCGTTCTCTTTAAAGCCTGGTGGTGGTGGTTGTCTGTGAACCCTGTGGATCTCCACGCTGCAGTCAAAGACTCTTTAAACCCTTTCTTCCTCGTTCTGATGCCTGGTTTGAACCTCAACAAGTCGTCTTCACCACGTCTATGAAACTGTTTGATTGTGATGTTGAAGCTTTTAGATCGTCTCTGCGTTGTTAAAGTTAAAGGGACAGTTCAGACTTTCAGTCCTCTGATCAATCTCAGTTTGGAGACTTGAGTTCCAAACGGTGCTGATACCGAGCTGGATCGCTGCCGTGTGACACAGACCCAGTCCCTAAAGCTTTATTCTGTCAGCTTCTTATGACTCAGTTATCCTGGGCAGAAATATTCATATTCCTCCAGCATGTGCATGTTCTTTAGTAAATTACTGTAATAACTGTCAGAATTAAACAATTTATCCAAACTGAGGTTACTCAAAGAGCTGTCTACAACAGGTGAGACATTATTTGTTCATAACCCACATCTGAGCGTAAGAGGACCGGGGTCTGTCTCAGAGGACATTTGTCTCCTAACCCCTCCCTGGTCGTCCTGCAGGATGCAGAGAAGCGCACCCCGCTGCACGCAGCAGCCTTCCTGGGCGATGCAGAGATCATTGAACTCCTCATCCTCTCTGGTAAGACTCATCATCGTAGATGTCTAAGCTTTTAGATTAAGATTATATTTTTTGTGACTGAGATTTATGATTTTGTTTGTTGGAAGTACCCTCCCTCTCTTACACACACACACACACATATATATATATATATATATTTGAGGAACTATGCTTTCTAGTTTTTATATTGCTTAAAAGTTTAGTTTCCTCAAATAGTTGGGGTGGGAGAAGATTAATCTATGGTGGCCAGGGCCACCAACGGCCACCCCCTGGCTCCACCACTGCACCTGGCGGTGGATAAAATGGCTCCCTCCATCGCTCTGCGCTGCATCGGACAACTAAACAAACAAACAAACAAATAAACAAAAACCTCTCTCTGTTCTTCTCCACAGTAACTTCTACCCACTTGAACATCTTGCACCAAAAACATTTAGGTTTACTTTCATCTCCTGTTCTTCAGCCTATAAAAACTACAAACGTTCAATATTAAATCTAGTCAGAAACGGAGGACATCGGCGTACTGCTAGTTTAATTTATTATACTAAATAAAATCCCATGCTTTGTTTGTACATTATACTTTTTTAAATAAAACATTTTCAGCTACAACAAAAAACACATTTTAATAAAACCTGCAAATAGTCTGACCCTGTTCCAGCAGGGAGTGCACTCTAACCATGGACTGTCTATGTATTTATTGTTAGGGACAATTAAAAAATATACATATATAATAATAATCTGCTTTTGTATTTAAGTTAACAGGCTGTGTTCAGTATTTAACATTTAAACAAGTTGGGTGCAAATATACTGGAGAATTTTCTTTTATATATTTAGTTACCTGAAAATTAAAGGCCTGTTTAGGCATAAGAAAAGGTCAAAGGTGTCTGAAACAGGAAGTAAGCGTGCACTTCTTTGATTCCTGCACTTCCTGTCTTCAGAAAACTAAATTTGACGTGAGTCCAAATAATTAATTCACAGCTGCTGCCTTTGGTCTTAGTTTAAGATGATCTTGAGTTGAGAAATGATGTCGTTACAACCGTTTGCTCAGCAGATTTTTAGGTTATCGTACTAGTTAGCTGTGGCGGCCATCTTGAATTGATCACCTCTGAATGTTAATCCGTTGTAGACGCGACTCTAACGATAATATTCTGTAAATTGTATTAAAAGTCGTCCAGTGGTTCGTGAGTTTTTTTGATACCAGCTGGAAACCGTTCCCGTTTTGGCGGCGGTGATATTTATACTTTGAACTTTAACGTGTCCTGAAATCAGCAAATCAATCCCTGGAGTGATTACAGGTGGAGCTCAGGTGCTGTTTGTCAGCAGGTGGCAGAGTTGCTGTGCTAATCTGGGATTAAATAGTAAAAATCTGAGACCGTGGTTTTATTTGTGCAGCGGTCTAATGTTTTAACGGACACGTCACCGTGTTGGCTCTGTTCCAGGGGCCCGGGTCAACGCCAAAGACAACATGTGGCTCACGCCTCTGCACCGCGCCGTGGCGTCACGGAGTGAGGTGAGCGCCCAGATTCTTCTTCCCGTTACAACGGCAGGTGCAGAAACAAAGTTCAGCTGAGTCTCGCCACGCTCTCCTGCGTGCGACGTGCGATCCTGCAACAAACGAGTCCGTTTTAACACCGCAGGCCCGTCCTGGTCCTAGTCCTGGTCCTGGTCCTGGTCCTAGTCCTGGTCCTGGTCCTGGTCCTGGTCCTTGTCCTGGTCCTAGTCCTGGTCCTAGTCCTGATCCTGGTCCTGATCCTGGTCCTGGTCCTGGTCCTGGTCCTTGTCCTGGTCCTAGTCCTGGTCCTAGTCCTGATCCTGGTCCTGGTCCTGGTCCTAGTCCTAGTCCTGGTCCTGGTCCTGGTCCTGGTCCTGGTCCTGGTCCTGGTCCTGGTTCTTCCTGTTAAAAGAGTCTTTCCTGTTTGATGCTCAGGATGAGAGATTGTGACGGATTAGCACTTCATACATAAACTGAGCTGAATTAAATTTAATTCCTTAGAAATCTGTTCTTTCAGCATATCTGCTTTATTTTTGTCTTCTTATGCTAGTTTTAGCTTCTAGCTAGTCTTTGATGCTGTTAGTTAGCACTTTGCTACTTTTAGCTAGCCTGTTGCTACTAACCTTTTGCTGCATTTAGCTTAGATTTCACTAGCTTCTAGCTACTGTTTACCACATGATGTTTTAGCTTGTCCCGTAGTACTTTTAACTAATAATTAACTTCCTTTAGTTTGTTGCTAGCTGTTTGCTACTTTTACCTTTTTAGCTAACATTTCCTTTTTTTAGCTAGCATTTTACTACTTTTAGTTTTTAGCCATTCTTTGTGTATCTTTTATTTTTGAATCTTTAAATAAAAACTTTAGCTAACCTTTTGCTACTATTAGCTTGTAGCTAGCATTTAGCTCCTTTTAACTAGGGGTTTGCTTCTATTTTTTCTAACCATTTACTTTTTTAGCTTCTAGATAATCTTTTGATACTTTTAGGTAGCACATTGCTACTTTTAGCTTGCATTTTTCTACGAACTTTTTGCAGCATTCAGCCAACATTTCACAGCGTTTAGCTTTTAGCTACTGTTTTTGCCACCTTAAGTTTTGGTTTGCCTAGTGCTGCATTTCGCTAACAATTTGCAGCCTTTAGTTTTTAAGCAAGCCTTTTCCACTTTTACCTTTTAGCTAATCTTTTGCTTATATATTTTTGATACTTTCAGCTAACATTTTTTTCGCTTTCCATCGAGCTACTTTCACTTTTAAATTAAGTCTTTTGCTACTTTCATGTCTAGCTACTTTTCCCCCCACTTTTTAGGTTTTACCTTGCTTTTTGCTACTTTTAGTTTTACCCAACCTTATGCTGTTTTAGCTAGCCTTTTGATATGTTACCTTTTAGCTAACATTTTGCTGTCTTTAGATTTTAGCTAGCCTTTAGTTACATTTCCATTTTAGCTGATGTTTTCTGCTTTTAGCCAACTTTTTGCTTCTTTTATTTTCTCTGTAGCCTTTTGGTACATTTAACTAGCCTTTGCTACTATAAGCTTGTAGCTAATATTTAGACACTTTAACTTGTGTTTTGCCACTTAGTTTTTAGCTAATCCTTTCCTGCTTGTTATTTTGCTACTTTTACCTTTAGTTAATCTTTTGCTACTTTTGGTTTCAAGCTAGTTTTGCACCTTTAGATTTTACGTAGCTTTAGCTACTTTTAGCTAACCTTTGGCTCCTTTTTGTTTAAATCTAATCTTTTGTTACTTTTAATATTTACTTATGGGATTTAGCTAGTGCTGTGTTTCCTATAGCTTTTAGTTACCATTTAGCTATTTTAGCTTGAATTCTGCCACAGGCGACACTGTAAAAAAGTTTCTTCTTCTTCAGGACGCTGTTCGAGTCCTGATCCGACACTCTGCGGACGTGAATGCTCGAGACAAGAACTGGCAGACGCCGCTTCACGTCGCCGCGGCGAAAAATGCGCTGCGGTGCGCCGAAATCATCATCCCCATGCTGAGCAGCGTGAACGTGTCGGATCGCGGCGGACGCACCGCCCTGCACCACGCCTCTCTCAACGGCCACGCCGAGGTACGGTGGTCTGTGGTACGGCGGACGGGTCGGACGTGATCAGATGTTCTCGGTGTCAGGTTCATGTGGTGTCAGCAGTTCTGGTTGGAGAACTGGGTCAGAGGAAACAGGTTCAGCAGAATAATCCACTTTTGTTTCAAACCTAAAGTTAACTCAGAACTGAGTGGAACAGACAGTTTCTTTGTTGTTTTTGCAACAAATTAGTCAAAAGCTGAGCTGTTTTATAAACGACGTCCCACAGACACACACTGGGTCTCCTTCAAAACTCCCCACTGCTTCCTCTTCTCACTTCCTGTCTCTATCTTATCCTCTTCTTCTCACTTCCTGTCTCTAACTCTTCCTCTTCTCACTTCCTGTCTTTTGTCGCATCCTCCTCTTCTCACTTCCTGTCTCTAACTATTCCTCCTCTTCTCAC